TTTAATGAGCATCTACAATTATGCATTAAGGCCCATACTTCAGTGCCTATCCACTTGAGTTCACAATAAGAGATTATAAAGAAAATATGACTAAACATGGGACTTGGTTTCCACTATGGAAGTTGCTCTCAACCTTCCTAATGCTGTGACCCCGTACTACAGTTCCTCATGTTATGGTAACCCCCAACCATAAAATTATTTTAGGTGCTACTTCATAATGTTAGGTTAGATGCTACATAACAAACTGTAATTTTGTTATTGTTATGAATCTCAATGTAAATATCTAACATGCAAATGGTCTTAGACCTGCTGTTATTACATGGCCTCTGTAGGATCTTGGCACATATGACTGACAAACTTACAATCATCCCCAGAGTTAGGGACCATTATGCTAATTTGACAGGTGAGGAAACTCAAGTTCAGAAAGTGTATTTAACTTTAGTAAAGCAAACAGTGTCAAATATGATTCAATCAATTAAGAATTTATAATTTGAATACAGTATAATGACATTTTGCATTCAGAAAAAAATAGAAATAAAAACAGAGGGAAAGTGGACATAGAGTCTCACTTTTAACCAAGAAGATATTTGCAATCGATACCTGCTAGCAAAGAGAAAATCAGTTTTCTACAAAAAAAAAAAAAAAAAAGTGTCACTGGGCATATCAATCACACCCTGGGGCAGGCTTCATGCCCAGTAGTTAGTTGGCTAATACAAAACTGATTCCATGGATCCTGTGTGTCTTTTATTTTGTTTTTCTCTTACTGGAATATTTTTTGACAGAAAGAGAGAATATGAAGTCTAGAAGGTAGAGAGGTAGGAAAGATCTAGGAAAGAGTTGAGGGAAGGGAAGCAATATGATCAAAATATATTGAATAAATTTTTTCAAAATCCTTTTATTGAGGTGCTATTTTGTTTTATATAGTGTTTAAATTACTTTTATATTTTATTTTAGGTATGTGTGTGTGTGTGTGTGTGTGTGTGTGTGTGTTTGCACACACAAACATTCAGAGAACAACCACTTCTGGCAGTTGGCTCTCTCCTTCAGCCATGCAAGTTACAAGTATCACTCAGGTTGTCAGGCTTGTTGGCAAATGCTTTTGCTCACTGAACCATCTCTCTGGTACTAAGTTGCAATTTTAAAAGGATATATTTGAACAAGCTTTTGTTTTGTTTTGTTTTGTTTTTCTTTTGGCTTTTTCAAGTCCGGTTTTCTCTCTGTAGCTCTGACTATCCTAAAACTTGCTCTGTACATCAGGCTGGCCTCAAACTCAGAGATCTGCCTGCCTCTGCTTCCCAAGTGCCAGGATTAAAAGTGTGTGAAACCACCACCACCTGGTTGAACACGCTTATTTTTAAGCAACCCTTTCAAGTGGTCAGTATGTCAAATTTTTAACAAGTTCAAATAATCAAAATAAAATAGGAATCTGGTAATATGGTGATACTGAAAGAAGAATAAGTTTCAAAAAGTTGAACTGGGAAAAGAAAATACAAAGGAATTACAAAAAATCATTAGGAATAGTAATATTTTAAAAGTAATTGGCTGTAAAAATCTATTTATGAAAACTAACTACATATGTACATTAACAAAAAATTTAGAAAGCCTAATTAAAAGAAAGTCAACATTTAACACTTCCACACACATTGAACACTTCTATACACACACACACACACACACACACACACACACACATGCTGTAAGGCACAAATTAATTAGTACCCCCCCCCCGTATAGTGGTGCACCTGTTAATACTAGATATAATATAGGGCTCAGGAGACAGAGACAAAGATGGTCAAGAGTTTGGGGCCATCCTTAACTCTATAGTTTGTATAAGGCCAAGCTGAGCCCCAATCATAACAATGTGTCTCAAAAGCAAAATTAATGAAGTAGTTTAGTTTGAAACAAAATCTTGTTTATCATATCATATTCACATGAGTATGGAGAAAATTACTCACACAAGATACCAAAAGCATAAGACATAAAAGACTGGAAAATTAATCACATAAGAGGTTCTTTGTCCCAAGAGATGAAACCAAAGTGAAAAGGTAGGTTTTACAGAAACCTGGTTCTGATAAACCTGAAAAACCTATAACTTGTTTCTCAAAAAAAAAAAAAAAAAAATTTCATCACAAACTAGCCATGAACAAGCCTATACACTAAGTTTGGAGCAGAAATTAATAAAGTAAGGAAACACATGAATCTAACAAGTTTGATATCATTACTTCAATGGCACACATAAATCTTTTATGCCAGATGGAGACCAATAATGTCAACATGATTTTAAAAATTAGTACACAAATTCTCTGACACAGTCAATATCTCAATAAAATCATGTAATTGTTAGTGAAACATTAAACAGTCAAGATGGTAAGAAACCCAAGTCATAATAATCTCATGGCCATTAATGAGCTCAGGACCACCACTGGACTTCACTGAATCTTGATTGCAACAGACCTGCGATGCAGGAAGAGCCAAGAGCCACCTCTCCCTTAGTCCGGTAATCTAGTTACCACCCAGTACAACAGAGAGGCAAGTCGTATTGCCATCTCAACTTCAAACTGATCTGCTTTCTTCAGGGATCTGCTTGTTGTCACTAAGGTTACAGATACATGCCATACCTGTCTTTTTACACATGCTGGGGATATGGACTCAAGTTCTCAAATTTACAGCTGTCACTTTACCTACTGAGCCATCTCCCCAGCCCCGACAACAAATTATCTTGAGAGAGAGGGAAAGGGAGAGAGAGAGGGAAAAAGAGAAAGGATATGAAGGAGTGAAAGAGAATAAATCAAAGCTAGGTGTGGTAGCTCAAGACTATAATCCCTGCACTTGGGAAGCTGTCAAGAGGACTTGCCACAGTTTAAGGACACCCTGGGCTACATGGTAAGTTCCTTGTCAACCTGTGCCCAGGTGAGATCCTATCTCAAAATACAAATAAATAAAATTCCATGGAACTAATAACAAATAATTTTGAGATGGAAGTAATAAGATACAACATAAAACATTATTAAAATTTCAGAGAACTAGGGACAAGCAGAGCACAAAAGTACCAAGGAGGGAAAAGGTCCATTGCAAAGATGGGGAAATCAGGAGATTCAGATTTTTTTAAAGCATTACACAAAGAGCTGGAAAGCATTCACTGTTGAAAGTCAATTCCAAAGGGAATTCTATACCTGGTAAAACTGCAGTGAGGGTTTTAGACCTACAGTTACTTACTTTACCTCTTGTACTAGCCAACAAAACAGTGGAGGAGATAAAAATGGAGGAAGACCAAATATTCATGAAAACTCACAGCTTCTGCATAGATGCATCCCAGGGAAGTTCCAGGACAGCAGCTATGCATCAGATAGAGTCCACACTGGAACTGAGGGATGAAGGTCTTAGAGACAGAACTCCCGAAATAAAGAATGGGACAGATATAACTATCTGTTATATTATTGAAATATTGAAAATATTATTGATAGAAATATGTTAAAACATGGAACATTTTAACAGAAATCAAAACACATAGACAGAAAGCTGGGTAATTAAAAATAAGGTTGTTATTAACTTCAAAAAAAAAAAAAGTAAAGGGCTGGACTGTATTTCACTATTTGACTTGGAAGAAAATAATGTCCTTATAACCAAAAGAATGAGGTACAGAGTATAACTAAAGCAAGGACAGTATATATGCAATTATAAAGGAGAAGGGAGGCAGGAGGACAAAGTGGAAAGCTAGAGCTCCACCCATATGGCAGGGGTGAAGAGATGGCACATAAACCATACAGCTACATGGGTGGGCTAGTCAGTAATAATGAGGTAACATGGGAACGGAGCCAAGGGCCTCACAATGGATTCTTCCAAATAGATCTCAAAGATAAAGAACTGTGGGGTTCTGCCTCTACTGTATTATTCTTAAAAAGAAATTAATGCTTATAGCTTTTCAAGATACATTTATTTACTTATTTATTGTAGGTGTGCCTGAGTGCCACAGCACACATGCTGAGGTCGGTCAGAGGACAACCAGCTCTCTCCTTCCCCCACATGGGTTCTGGGGATGGAACCTAGGCTGTCAGGCTTGGTGGCCAGTGTCTCTACATGATAAACCACCTCACAGGCCCTGAATTTTCATTCATTTTTTTTTCTTTGTTTGTTGAGACAGGGTTTTTCCATAGCTTTGTAGACCAGGGCTGGTCTCAAACTCACAAAGAACCTACTGCCTCTGCCTTCCAAGAGCTGGGATTAAAGGTGTGTGCCACAACCATCACTACCATCACCACCACCAGGCCTGGCCCTAAATTTTTAAAGCTAGTTTAAAATAATTAGAACTTATTTTTTAAAGTAAATAACTAAATATGGGTAATATATTTTATAGATAGAATTCTGTATCTCTCAAATTACAGATGTCAGTCTTACAAATACAGCAGCATAACAGACATGAAGAAAACACACAATTAAATATTTGCCCAAGGCATATGTGAAAAACTTTAACCCTTCAGAGCAAATTTCTTTAAAAAGGTTAAAACTACAAGCAGCATTATGTCAACCAACCAATTAATTAATACAACCTTAGGAAATACTGTGAGTTTTGTAAGGATTTTGGAAAATGCTTTGATTGTGAAAATGTAAGTTAACTTATTATTCCTGAAGGAAAAGGAGGTAACATAAAATATGACTGAGCAATTCCTGGTAAAACACTAACAAATACTCAAAAGAGGATCAGTTAGGAAGGAGGAAGCTGAGTAACCCCTACCTCAAAACCTACAAGTCCTCAACATTCCAAACCCTGACACTTTCCAGCCAGTGTGATGGTACAGCTAACCTCATGGGATGGAGCCCACCTTGGATGCACTAAAAGTCCTGCCATGGCCTCAGGACAGTGTGAAACAAGAATAGACTCATTTGCACTTGTTTCATCTCAGACATCTTGAAACGAGCATTTTAGGTAAAGCCTTATCAATTCCCTGAATTATTTCCAAAACTGCCTTTTTCTATTGATTTGCCACACACAGCAGCCTTACCTGAACAGTGCGCCCTGCATTGATGTGCTCTTCATGCAACTTGTCCCAAATTCTGCACCGTTGATACTGTTAAATAAAAACAGGGAAAGAACTGAGTTTTACATCATGAGACCATGTCCAGTAGCCACAAAAACCTTTACTCATCTACTCAAACATAGCAGAGAGGGAAAACAGTGATTTTTGTAATGATAGTTAACTTTCTGAAGGCTTTCAATACTACATTTTAAAAATTTAAAGACAAAAATTTATGATAGTAAACAATAACACAAAATATTATCAGATCAAATTTATTTTTTCTTTTTCTTTTTCTTTCTTTTTTTTGTAATCAAAATACTTTTTTTGTCTTTCTACAGAGTCTCTGGGGAAGGGAAATACAGATAATGATAATGAAGACATTAAAGAAGCTGGGAGATGGACACCATCCTCACTACATATGCAAAATGTTAAGAGATTGTTAATAGTGATGATAATATTAAAAAATAAGATCAAAACTTTTTAAAAAGCAATAAATCAGGCCAGGTGGTGGTGGCACATGCCTTTAATCTCAGCACTCGGGAGGCAGAGGCAGGCGGATCTCTGTGAGATCAAGACCAGCCTGGTCTACAGAGCAAGCTCCAGAGCAGCCTCCAAAGCCACAGAGAAACCCTGTCTCAAAAAACCAAAAAAAAAAAAAAAAAAAAAAAAAACCAGAAAGAAATCTCAAAGGCAGGCAGGAAGAGAGGAGAAAATGAATGCTGAAGTACAGAGGGACAAAGGCAGATGGATTAGAAGCGAAGGATCATAAAGTGAGGATTACGTACATAAGAAAGATAATATCTACTCCAAAGTACAGGAAAGAATAACTGCCTCACCTTGAATACCAAATATTAAAAATAAAAAACAGGGACAAATATGAAAGGCAACAGGAATGTTCTAAATCTAATATACTAGAAAATAATATATATTGACAGATAGTACCTATGCCGAAGGCCTGGGTAGGCTAATTCGATAAATACATACTCCACTTTTGAGTGGTCACCTTGTGCATAGGATTTTTTCATATATATGCGCGCGCGCGTGTGTGTGTGTGTTGTGCATATATGCTTACCTTTGTGTGAGTGCACATGTCAGGAGGTGTGAATATGTGTGCATGAGTGTGTAGAGGCCAGATATTAACATTACTTATTGTGGTGGTTACTATGTGTACCTCAATTATTCTCTACTTTATTTACTAACTCAGGGTCTCTAACTAAACCTGGAGTTTGCTGACTTAACTAGTCTAACTTGCCAGCTTTCCTTAGTGTCCTGGCTAGTTTCAATGTCAGCATGACACGAGCTGGAGGCATCTGACAGTACGGGATCTCAGTTGAAAAAAATGTCTCCACATAATCATAAGATCAGACTGCAGGCAAGCCTACTGAGCACTTTCAAAATGAGTGATGGGTGTGGGAGGGCCTTCCACTGTGGGGTGCTACCTCTGGGCTGGTGGTTCTAGGTATTATAAGAAAGCAGGTAGATTCAACCTGTAAGCGGCATTCATCCAAGGCCTCTGCTTCAGTTCCTGTCCTGCTTGAGTCCCTGCCCTGTCTTCCTCAGCAATTGACTGTGACCCAGAAGTGCTTTTGGTCCTGGTCTTTATCACAGTAATAGAAATCCTGACTAAAACTGCTGGAAATTCCATCTCTGTCTCCTCAAGTTTTGAGATTACAAGCAGACCCCCATACCAGGAGACCCAAACTCTGGTTCTCATACTTGTTTGGCAAGCACTTTATTTACTGAGCTCTTTCCAGTCTCATCGTATAATATGTTACTCCTTACAATGATCTTATACAATTGTAATTTCACCATCATAACAGTATGGAAACACAGACATTTGCAGCTTTGTTCCAAATAGTAAAACTTGGATGTTAAGTCTATAAACATTAAGGTCTACTACATAGTGCCATGTTAAGGTGGATGTTTATATCTGAGGTGATGACATCGATCAAAGCACCCTCCACAGGAAGTGCCTAAGCTGAGAGTTGAACAACAAAGTTTGAATGGTGGCAGATGGTAAAATTCATGTCGTTAACAGATATAAGACAGAATGTAAAACCATTCAGTTCAGTGTCTTCATCTACCTTATTTAGTGAGGAATTCACCTTCAAAATAGAAAAGCATTGACAAGATCATCAGGAGAAAATTAAACTAGCTATGACGGAGCATGCCTGCAATCTCAGCTAACCAGGTAGCTGAGGCAGGAGGATTACCTGAGCCAAAAGTTCAGGACTGGTTTGGGGAACATAGGAAGACACTGTCTCAACAACAAAGACAACGGGTTTAGGAATATAGCTCAGAGGTGCAGTGCTTGCCTAGCAGTAAGAAGTTCTAGGTACTATCGTCAGCAAACCTAACCCCTTCCCCCTAAAAAAAGAAAAGAAAGAAAACCAAGAAAGAGTAAACCTACTTACTTCAAATGAGTTCAAATCAACAGGCACAAGAAAAGGATATCTGAGTGAACCAAGAAACCTTGCAAACACTTCTGTTTATTTATGAAGAACTGGAAAAATCCCTAATACTTGCAATTTCACAAAGATATATATATATATATGATGGGCTATAAATATCAATGTAAATCTTTGGGGAAAGTCTTTACTAGATTAGTAGATAGATGGCATGTGAAATTTAAGGAGCTGGAGGGCCTGTTCCTTTTCTGTCCAGCGTTCTCACTGATCGCTTCAAAACAAACAACATATAACTGTCAACTTCACAGCTGACATAGGAGAAAAGGGTTAACATAACTGAAAGGTCACAGCTGTACTGGTGGGAATTACAGTAATGTACATGGGAGGCTCTGCACTGGTGCGGAACAGAGAAAGAGTAAAGCACTGGCTGGCTTCACAGCTACCAGTTCACAGGAATTAAAGAATGAGCAGTAAGAAGTGGTATTCTGAGATGACAAGTGCAGTGTTAGGCTCTACATCCATTCATTCTCTGCATCTGTTAGAAGCGCACTCTCAAGTACGTATAAGTTGGATACATGTACTAACATAGCAACTCTTGTAAATGTCTCCCCTCTACAGAGTGGTCCAGAGTAAAGTGTGATGTGCAGGCCTGTAACCCCAGCCCTGGGAAGCTAGGAAAGGAAGATCATGTTAAGGCCAGCTGGGGTTAAGAGTGAGACCTTCTCTCAAAGAGCAAACAAGGGCTGGAGAGATGGCTGAGCAGGTAAAGGTGCTTGCCCCTAAGCCCAAGACCTGAGTTTAACCCACACCAAAGGAGGAAGAGAACTGATTCCAAAAGTTGTTCTCTGATCTCCACATACACATAATAAATAAATGTAAAAAAAATTAAAACTAAATCAAACAACAATAATACTTGCTCAGTAAAGTTACTGTAAGACTAAGTGCTATTACTTATAACATAACTCTCAAAAAAGGAAAGCAGCAGCCTTTGCTACCACTGTCCTTACTTGCCCACTTATCAAAGAGGCTATAGAAGAGATTACTGTCTCAATGGCATTATCCCTTATTATAGTGAGTTAAAAAAAAAAAAAGAAGAAGAAGAAAAGAATTCAGTTTGCTACTCCTTACTATTCAATCTTATATAAAATTAGGATATAATGTGAAAAGCTATTATCCCAAATATTTGGTGAGGGTAGAGGGAAGCAGGGTGCTATAAAAATATGTGTGAAAACCACTAGAAGCAGTTAAGTTTGGACAACTGGTAAGCATCTCTAAGCACAGGCTTTTGTGTGAGATGGTCTTTATCTATCTGCACAGCACGGCAGGCAAGTGATTAAGCTGGAACCATAGCATTATGCTTTGGGTTGCTAAATACAGAAATACAAACTTGAAAGTGGCCCCAACAACAAACACACTCCCTACATCACACAGAAAACAGCCAGGAATGTGGCAATCATCCCAGGGTGGTTCAAACAGCACTTGCAAGGTCAAGTGCCAGGTTCAATAAAGCCCTCATATTTGTCTCCTAATGCAGCAGGGTTCCAGATACAACAGGAAGGCACAACCAGACCACTAGAAGAAAGGGGACTGTTTCCTTACATGTGTATCTTTTGTAAAGTAGGAAAATATTTCTGGAGGTTTCCAAATTCCTATCAGGTTTTTGGTCAAGGCTTACTGGCCAGAACAACAAGATGTGTCTATAGCTCCTTCATAACCCAAGAGCTGAATTATCACATTCATTAGACACAGTATCATTCACCATCACCCGAGTTTGGTAAAGAAGATAGTCAGTCACAGGATGGGGAAGGGGGTTATTGTAATTACAAATTAACAAATAAATATGAACAAATACATAACTATGACAAATACATAACTATGAAGTCAGCCTGCTTCTTTCATTTGGTACTGCTGGGTTCAAGCTGCAAGCTATTTGTCTACTCCATGTCACCCATGGACTGCCTAGTCCATGTCATACGCTGCCTCTGATCATTGTTGGATTACTTTCTATCTTGTTTCCTTAATTGAACTGCAAAAAAAAAATCTATTTTTATATATCATTCAAAGCTAACAATCTAAGAAACAGCAAATACTAAACACCAATAAATACTTAAGGAAAGCTAATATTTATTTCTTGTAATAAATAATCTTGCTTCTCATTAAACCTGGCAGATTGAATGCAAATATTCATTTCTGCTCTTTTCCGAAATCACATGAAAAGACAATAAAGAATGTTAAGAGGTGAAAATTCACAAGAGCAATAAGAATACAAGAGAAGACACCAATAGACAAGAACTTTTAAGCAAACCTCAGAAGGTGGAAAGAATATAAACACATTGCAGTGGGTACAGCAGACCAGAGAGAACAACAGTCTGAGCTTGAAGAGATGGCTGGAGGGAAGAGAGGCATGGAGGCCACAGACAGGTTCCAGGAAGGCTGCACACCCAGAAATACTAGGTGCAGGTGACTAGTTAAGAAGTGTGGTGGAGACAAAAGCAGAATTAGTGGAAGGCTGATATAAGCCACATGTAGTTATCACCTCCCCACATGCTCAAGCAACTGCCCTGCCCCATGCCCACAGAAGGTAGTCCTCTCTGCAGGGGCCAACCGGAGAAGATGGGGCCTGGACTCTAACCCTAACAAAGGCAAAGATGGGATGGTTTACCCAAGCAGCCTGGACCAGGAAGCTCTAAATGTTGGTGTGCCTGTCATCTTCCTTGTTCACTTTCCTTCTTAGGTCAGATGGATGGTCACATAATGCATAGTATACCCACCCCTCTTAGGTCCACCCAAATCCCACCTCATCCCTGTTTCAGCATCACCTCTAATAAAATAATTCCAACAGGTAGACTGGGGTTTAAGAAAAAAAAAAAAAAAAAGAAACATAGATACTAAATCTAACAAGGTTGTGTCAAGTAATGTGTTTACATATAAGTTGATGACATCAATTAGAGCACACTCCACAGGAAGTACCAGAGCTGGGATTTGAACAAAGAACAAAGCTTGAATGGAGGCAAATGCTGGGATGCATGTCATTAACAGATGTAAGACAGAAAGTAAAATTACTCAGGCCCATATATCTACCTTCTTTACTGAGGAATTCACCTTCAAATAGAAAAGTGTTAATAAGATCATTAGGAGGAAAATGAAGCTGGGTATGATGGAGCATGCCTGCAGGTAATGGACGGCTTCCATTACCATGAGAGATGAGATGGAGCAAACCTAAAGCATTTCCATCTTATCTGATAGGCCATATGGGAATCTCTGCCACTTGCATCTTAGCCATAAACTAATCCGTATAAATCCTGGGTGTATATCCCTCACAGTAACTTTCTTCTTAGATCCCTATTACCTAAGAAAGCTAAATGCTAAGGCTCCAAACTTCAGGATCACACGTTAATAACACTCATTGTGTGTAACAGTGCACTGCGGAAGGGCCTATGGAACATGGCCCAGGTGTCCACAGCACACTGCTCTTATTGTTCTCATTGTTGCAGAATCACTGTGCTAAAGGCTTACCTTCAATTTCCCTCCAGTCTGGCTTTTTTCTTTTAAATTCATATTGGATGACTGATGGCCAGAATAATAACTATTTTATCTTTCTACACCTTTTCCTAAGAATAATATGCCTTTTTCAAAGAGAGGCACTATAAGACACCTGGAGCCTTAATTTTGTTAACTGTCCTGTACAGAATGAGTACTGCAGTTTTTAAATATGTTTACATGCCATAACCTATCCATCAAAAATATGCTATTCAAGAGAAAGAAGTATTTCCATAATAAACTAGAAATCCTACAGACAGTGAATGAAATGTTCAAGTATATTTTTTAAAAAGTATAAATCAATAAGAATTTACCTTCTTAGCTTCAGATATTATGATCTGTCTGTCCATTATAATTATCTGATAATGTCTGAAGGTTTCATAAGTAAAAATGCTAAAATAGGACCATGTTCAGCCAGAGCAAAATCAATGGCACTATCTCCACGATAATTCTCTTATGAACCTGGTACAACTAATCCAATCAGCAACGGGCCCCTTTCCCACCACCTTGCTGCAGGGCTCTCACTTTCCATAAGGGGACTGCACACACACATAGCTAGGATTAAAGGGCAATGGCAGCAGCCATTTTCATACAAAGTAAGAAAAACGTGTTAAATCTCAAAGGTAAAGTAGGACAATGAAGGGGGAGATGGCTTTAATAGCCCACAGACCCCTTGTCTTTACCTTTCAGAATCATTTCCTTTACCTAATTCTTATCATCTTTGTTAATGGCAAAATTGGTATAGTTCAGGACTTTGAAACACACCTTATCAAATCTTTTACACATTTTTTAACACTGTAACAATCTAAAAACAGAACTGTTTACTTTGGATTGCTCAACTCTAGGTAGAAGATTTGATAAGGTATGTTTCTCTATCCCATTAAGCAAAGCATGCTTGCATTCCAAGGAGAACCAGTTTACCAGACAATTCCTTCCATACCCTTACAAGCTAGAGCTATCACTTAAGCCTTATATGTAAAGGACAAGAAATTAAGGTGTGAAAAAAAAAAAACAAAAAAACGCTAACCCTCAATTCTAAAAACACCTCAGAGAAATTTCCATTGCAGACAGCTTCTCTCTCTCTCTCTCTCTCTCTCTCTCTCTCTCTCTCTCTCTCTCTCTCTCTGTCTGTCTGTGTGTGTGTGTGTGTGTGTGTGTGTGTGTGTGTGTGTGTGTAAGGTGGTTAAATACTAGAAAAATCAGTAGGAGAAAAAAATGGTATTTTGAGTGAATAGAGATTATATTGAAAAGCTATTAATGACCACATGGCCCACCCTTATCCTAAAATTCAAAAAGAGAAGTAGAGGAACACACAGCTCAATGCTTAAAGCAGAAGACGACCCACCTTTCCAAGTCAAAGCTCAGTTCTCAGTAAACCTGAGGCTGCTACAACTGTCACAAGCCCCACATCACAGCCTGTCCAGGGCTGCTGCTTTCTGAGAAACTCATCTACTCTCATTTCCCCAACCCACCTTGGCAGTACTTCTCAATTTGGGACCTTTGTCAAAGAGAAGCAGTGGAGAAAGGAAATCCCCTCACATCATACAATTATTTCCATCTTTACATGAAGAAGACAGGAGTTACTGAAAGGCACAAGTTCAAAACACTTGCCATGGGGTGAATGAGATTAAGGCAGCTCCATTAGCCATAGCTCCCACCTTCACAGCACAAGGCACTATCAAACAGTTTGAACTTAATTACTAACTACCTAAAACTGCCACATGTCAATTAAAAAGATATAAACTCTACTCCTATCTCTCTTCGTCAACATAATAAAAGGAATATATGAGAGATACATTTGTAGAGCATGAAGACTAGCTATCAGAGGGTTGGAGGTGTCTTAACAAAGTCTCGGGTTCTCTACTCAGCTGAAATCCAAAGACAGCAAGTAAGAATCCATGGAGGTACCTGCTTCTGCAGTGAAAATGAATGCTCACCTTCTCAATGTTTATCTGGTGTTTTCTTAACCTCTCCAGGTCTGTTGGTATCACTATCTTAGTGAATTTCTGGATAGCTGGCTCTAGTCGTCGTAACCTCACTTTTTCTTCATCTTCAGACATCCTGTTGGCCACTTCCACTTGTAGTGGCTCTCTTCTCTCGTGCAGAAGCACCTAATAAGGAACATTTAAAAATGCTTTTACAACAGGTTCCATTCCTTCTAAAAATACACAAATACAGGGCTGGAGAGCACTGGCTGCTCTTCCAGAGGACCTGGGTTGCTTCCCAACATCCACATGATGGCTCACAACCACCTGTAACCCCAGTTCCAGTTCTAACATCATTTTCTAGCCCCCTGTGGCTCTGCACATATGGTGCACACAGGCAAGCAAACACTCACATATATAAAAAACAATTTTCAACCAACAAATATGTAATTACTCTTTTCTCTAAATACATATTAAACCCAAAATTGAACTTGAATGGCTTGGTTTTTCTATGAAATGATGTATATTCAAATATTCTCTTCATTAAGGTAGTATCTAGTCATTCTCAAGTACTTTTCAAACTGTTCATTTTTATAGCACAGGCAGGATAGGAACTGGTAACTATAGGCTGTCCAGGAAACCCTGATCCGCATACCTTTACCTCCCAAGCTACTCAAGAATGTTCAGAAAATATGACTAAGTTGGGGCCCATGGGAAGGTTCAGTGGGTAGAAGAGCTTACCTGAGCTCAATATCTGGGACCCACATACTAGAGGGAAAGAACTGACTTTTCTAACTATGATGTATGTGTCCCACATTGGCACAAGCACAAACACACACACACTCACACACACACACACACACACACACTTAAATAAATAAAAATGCAGTCAACAAGTTCAAAGAAAATACAAGAATAAACAGAATAAAATAAAGCTACCAATTATCTCCTCAACCTTAAGTACCTACTCTATATTTTCATGGCTGTCTCCTGAACTCTTTTGCAATGTGAAGTATGTATGTAAACACCACTAAAAATGAGGTCTCCCTGATAAACTTTGTACACTGAACAGTCATCTTTTAAAAGAATTGACAAATAGCAAAACTACAAGGAAAATTTTCACTCAATAGTTTTCCTTATATCAAACTCCACCTCCAATGTCATATAAAGTAATTGTGTAATTATATACTTCAAGTACAGGACAGACTACAGAACTCCTTTCATTGAAGGCCCTCATCTCTTCCTTTTTAAACTAGGTGATTAGCAATGTCTACTAAATGGCCAGCAATAGAACTCCAATAAGAAGCAATTTACAAGGCCAAGTGATGGCTTAGGGGGTAAAGGCACTTGCTGACAAGACACAACCTGAGTGTGATCCCCAGGTCCTACATGGGAGAGAACTGACTCCCTCTGACCTCCACAAGCATACTGTAGCACATGAATGACACACACACACACATAAATAAATGTACTTAATTTTTTTTTAAAGAACCAGATTCCCTGCAGATACGTGGAGATTTTGTGTGTGTGTGTGTGTGTGTGTGTGTGTGTGTGTGTGTGTGTGTGTGTAACCAGGACTCTACAGCCATATAAAAAGTGCCAGCTTATGCTTTTGGAGACAGGACAGAAAAGGTAGGAGCTGTAAGTGAGCATTCTCCAGAACCCCACAATGGCTCTAATGAGACAAATTTAACTTACATCAATTTTTATAAATGTGAGCTTGTAACAGATTTTACATAAATGATAATGTGCTCCTCTACTTAGTCAAGCTTGAACACCACCAAAGTATATCATGCTTTGATGCCACCTCTTTAGCCCACAGCCCAAAGACAAGTGGAACATGTAATCCTGTTGGACTATGACTTCTTAGTCCAGGCCTCAGAGATATACATTCATGTATTGATTCTGTGAGACCCAGATTCTTTAAGATTCATTGTTTTCAGATTCTCAAAGAGATCTAATGCCCCAAACATTAAGAAGTGCTTTAAACAATGTTCTGTTTTCCTCCTTTCTTCCACAGTTGAAAATCTTGACGCAATGGCTATAAAAAACAACTCCCATAACCCTTGGCTAAGAACTTGGTTCTTATGCCCAATACGAGCTCCCAAGGAAAATGTTCAGACACCAACAACAGAGTTAAAATTGAACCCCAGGACAAACAGAAACTAGAGACATGTGGAGAAGTACAGTGTGAAAAGAAATATACTCAATAAACAAGCAAACAAAACAAAAATAACAAAGGCACTAGGAAGAAAGTGATCAAAAAAGAAAAGTCAAGTCTAACCTTAAATATAAAAAGACATAAATGAAGAAACAGACTTTTCAAAAGCACATAAAAGAAGGAGTGGGTTCCTTTTTAAAAAGTAATATGTTACAAAAGAGTTAACAGGCCAATTGGAACATAAGGCAAGTTAAAAAAAAAAAAATTCTAAACTGAAAGAAGATGAGGTAAACAAGAAACCATACATAGATGGAGAGAGGACTACTGAATGGAAGCTATCAGAACTCCAGGGATAAAAAGATGAAGAATATAAATGAGAAGATAAAGGACACAGATACACAAGCTCAGTAATGAATAGAAAGAATACAGAAAACAACCAACAGAAATTATTCAAAGAAAATATTCTGAGAATTAAAACAGAAGATCTCAAGTTGAAAAAGAGCATAGCCCAGTTAGTATAAATAAACAAACCTACATAAGCACATGATAGGAAACTACAGAGCATCAAGGGCAAAGAAAAACATCTTAAAAGCAAAACAGAGATAACAGATAAATGAAAACAACAAAAGCAGCCAACTTTTCATCAAAGCAATATATCAAAAGATAGGAATGCCTTCAAAGTACTAGGGAGCTGGTACATACCCGGGCAAATTATCATTTATGGTGAAGTCAAAATAATTGTTTTCAGATATGCAAGATGAATTTAACAAACTCATTAAAAGAATTACTAAAAGGGGAGGGAGGGGAGAAAGGATGGTAGGAGACAGGGATAGAGATGAGAGAGACAGAAAGCAAGTGTGTGTATGAAAGCAAGTGTGTGTATGTGCCTGTGTGCTCATGAGATCATGCTTACAGGTTTGGTACCCCACCAGGATCCCTAGTCGGTTAAGGTATCTTGTAGGTAATATGGTTTTTAAACATTTATAGAATTCACCCTTCTTCCTCTCAAAACCTGCAAAGAATTATAAACAACATATTTAACAATAAAGAAAATAAAATGATGGAATGAACATAATAACCTATTACTGGTTTGAATGGATGAATGAATGTTGGATTTATTCTGAATAACATGATAAAATACATGAAAATGTTACCATGTGAATATTTTTATTATGTACTTACTTTTAGTAGCATAGAATTACAATGTGAATGTTCCATAATCTAGTCATCCATTGTATGCTATTTAAGTTGATCCCAATTTTCCATTATTATAAACAAATTGTAATCACTTTCTTCACATATTAATCCATGCTGCCACCCACAATTACTTAATATAAACAGCTAAAAATAGAAATATTAAGCAGACAAATTTTAAGTTTTAAAAACATACACATTGCCAAATGTGTCTTTCTCCCAATTTACATTCTACTAGAAGTACTTCTCCATATTCTAAACAATGGCTTGATTAGATTAGGGGGTGGGGGGCCAATGGTGTCTCAAGAGACTTTTCTAGTTCATTCTCCTACTAACTAGAATTTAAATTTTTCCTGTCGTTTTCTGTTTTTAAAAATTATTATAGTTATATACTATATCTGGGAGCATAACATTCAAATTGGTAACATTGCAGGCACAATATTACCAATAACAGAACATTGTCTAGCATGGCATCACATCATGGAATAGTTCACATCTGTCATCTGTTATAGGAAGATCCCAGTTCAGTGGCAGAATGTGGTGTAGAAGTATTTGCATACTGACTGAAAGTATATCCCAGCACTTTTAATTTTTTTGTACTCACAAAGTTGGAACATGCTACATGATCAAAACACTAAACTAAAAAAAGGTAAAAGATTTCACACCTGTAAAAATGTCCAAAAATATACTAAGTTCCCAAACTACTGTGAAGTTGTTCTATTATTTTAATGATCTAAAAAAGTATAAAATATTTGTGATAGAATTTATTCTGTCATGATGTGGTGATATATAGCTATTTGCAAAGCTTAAAACCCATGAAACTATATGAATTAAAGAATAAATGCTACTGAGTAAAATTTTTTAAAAAATCAAGATATAAGAGAAATAAAAGGTGAAAAATAAGCTATCAAAAATAAGACTGCATTACCATGGAACTAAATAGGGAAGAAAGCAATCAAAGCCCAGTTCATGGTAATTGTAAGGTTAAAGATTAAAACAGTTGCACTATGTTTCCCTTCATTGTGGAATGTTTAACTATGAAAAGATATGTTGCTGCTAAAATTATACAATGGAAGGAGGAAAGCATCTTCAACAAATGGTGCTGGCATAACTGGATGCTGGTATGTAGAAGATTCCAGATAGATCCATGTCTATGACCATGCATAAAACTTAAGTCTAAATGGATCAAAGACTTCAACATAAGTCCAGTCCCACTGGACCTCTTAGAAGAGAAAGTGGGAGGTACCCTTGAACAAATTGGTACAGAAGACAGCTTCCTGAACAAAACACCAGTAGCACAGACACTGAGATCAACAATTAATAAATGCAGCCTCCTGAAACTGAGAAGCATCTGTAAGACAAAGGACACAGTCAACAAGACTGAGAAAAGATATTCACCAACCCCACATCTGAGAGAGGACTGATCTCCAAAATATACAAAGAACTCAAGAAACTAGTCACCAAAATACCAAATAATCATATTAAAAAGTGGGGTACAGAACTGAATAGAGAATTCTCAATAGAGGAATTCAAAATGGCTGAAAGACACTTAAGAAAGTGCTCAATATCCTTAGCATCAGGGAAATGCAAATCAAAACAACTCTGAGATACCATCTTACTCCTATCAGAATGGCTAAAATTAGAAACACCAATGACAACTTATGCTGGAGAGGATGTGGAGAAAGGGGAACACTCCTCCACTGCTGGTGGGAGTGCAAACTTGTACAGCCATTTTGGAGATGAGTATGGCGGTTCCTCAGGAAAATGGGAATCAGTCTACCACAGGATCCAGCAATTCCACTCTTAGACATATACCCAAATGATCCA